GTGGCTGACATAATTATTAGTTCTGCTGCAGCTCCTAACCAGGATGGAGAGGCTCGTTGGGAGCTGCGACAGCGTCACCGCGCCGCCGCCGGTCCCTCTGCAGGGGACCCACCCGCCGGATCGCAACTCGTCAATCCACGTTAACGACTCGTCAACACGTCCAGGGGCCCGCGAAGCCTCTTCGCGCCGCTCGTTAGCGAGCATTCGGCCCGCCGGTCGGCACGGCCTATCAGGTTACCGGTCCGACCAGCAGTGGCGTAAACACGCGGCAATGACTCTCCAGAGTCGGCATTTCAAACGCCCTTGAGCATTGCATCCGGGAGCCGGGAGTCGGTGTTTGAGAAACACTTGGAGTGATGACTCCGGGAGTCGGCATTTGTGACGCACTTGGAGGAGGAGTGGAGGCGAGAGGGCACCGCGGGCTGTTCCGCGTGTCCGAGTGTAGGTTGTCTGGTCACTGCGTGATAAATGGCACGACGCTCTCTTATTTATGTGCGGCATCCGTGTCCCGCCCATCCTCAGCGCGCTCCTTCTGTCCCCTGTCTTCCGCCCAGTGCACTCCACCCTCTTTTGCTTCCCCTATCCTCCATCATCCATTCTCTATCTCTCTAGTTCTTTTTCCTTTGATCTCCACCCTCTGCTAAGCATTCCACCCCTGCATTGCACCCTCCACCTTGCCCGTCTTTCCCTCCTCCCATAAGCCAAATCCTGAGTCAGGGTTTCCTTCTTAGTCCAGCAGGCCTCGCTCATATAGGCTATGGATGCAACAATCCAGTGGCCCAGTATTCCCGCAGCCGACTGCTTCCTTCTGATCCTAGCTCTCTGATTTAAATGGACGGTTTTTAATCTCGCTGAGACTTGTGAGCTTTGTGCTTACCTCATGTCTCATGTGCGTGGTCACAGAAAATGTTATACTCCATGTGCATTGTGCAATGCATGTTTACTATAACAAATGTTGGCATGAATTTGAAATATGAAATTCGCATTTCAGCGTATCGAATATGCATCCAAATTCCAATCCCGCATTATGTTTCAAAACATGGTTAATGTCCCACCTTCTATAAAACATACAAAATCGACAACAAAGCATATATAATGAAAATTGAAGCCCGAGTTCCGATGCGGAGAATGAGAGGAAATCGCGCCGGGAAGAGGAACTGCAGAGGCAGTGGCACAGACAAAGCCTGTGTCGCGGAGAGAGACAAAGCCAGACAATGGGCGGGATGAAGAGAACAAAAACAGCGTCCCACTCAGCAGCCGGTATAGAGGGGCGGCGGCGGATAAATGAGCTCGGACGTCAGCTCCGTGCGACCGGCGCCGGCTCGCCGGCAGCAGTGGGTATCGACTCGCCGAACGTGCTGACGCGCTGCATTGTCTCAGCGCGCCGACAGGCGGATGGGCCGCAGTCGGAGTGTCACAATGGATTTCACGTGTCTGAGCGAATTTCAAAGCTGCTTCTGGATAATGCCGCGCTTGAACCTGTGTCCTCTCTGGTTGGATCAATTGGAGAAGTCGTGTTGTCAGGTCTGCTGACGCCCGGATGTTGGGTTAGTCTGGCCATCAGTCTCTGATCCTGTCTACAGAGACTCAGACCTCAACTCTCCACCAACGGTATTGAGTCCCGCGCCGACTGGAGCGATGAGTCGGCGACGTGTGCTGTGTGGGGATTTGGACACCCGTCGCCGCCCAACCCGATTCATCTGGCGCCTGGTGACCGCTGGAATAGCCGACCCTGACGGACCTGGCAACCGGCTGCGGCTTAACACGCGCAGTCTGTGATTGGCTATCAGCTGTGATCGAGGCTGCTAAAAAATGTCTGCTCCTTAATGCAAAAACGCATACCATTGATGGATACCATGAATAATGAAAATGCACCGTGAAATTCAAATATTCACTAGGATAAGCCCTTTCTTCGAAAAATCTGTCTTCGGACCTAGTCTTCAGTCTCATACTGCTTTGATCGTGCGACTGAAACATAATTTATTCGGTGCTTTTGACGGAGAGAAGTTTGACTTCGCTCAGATTTGCTTTGAAACACAGATTTGGAACATGATTCAAGTCCTTCATTCTAAAAAGACCCTTGCATTTCACAGATGGGTTTGCTGCATTCCAGCATCTCAAGAGTCATCCCATGTATCATCGTCGGTAGGAGCCAGACTTGGCGTCTCAATGAGTTTCTGTATGTTTAAAGGGGAACAATCGTTTGCGCCCGAGGCTGGCGCAGGAACCAATCATCTGTGCCTACATCTGCTGCAGTGACCAATCATTTTCGCCGCGGATCGGGGCCTGCCCGCCGCTATCTAAACATACCGGGTCCGCTGGGAACCGCCCACGAGCCACAACACTAATTAATTACGGTAATGAGGACACAGCTGCAATTTACTGCCTAATGGGACGCCTCGACCCAACTGAATCTTCTATAAACAATGGCAAAGATAGTTGTGGACGCATCTTAAGCGGATAGTTTTCATAAATAGCACATAACACAGATTTAGCCATAAATGTATTCGAACCGGAGAAAACAATGAAGCTCAAAGAAAATAATTTTTGTTTTTAGAGTGATGAACAAAATGAGCAAGAACATAACTATCTGCTGGCATTATGAATATTCGTGAATATTTCCCTCTTTTGGCAGCTCACTCTATGCCAAGGCCCTAACGTTGGTAGACATTAAAGACTCGTGTCCTATCAGACTCGTCAATCCTGGGGTGTTAACCATAAAGCTGGGTAAGCCGCCGGGGCTTGGCAAAAAGGAAGACGTGATAGCAGCTGTGGTGTAGGATTAGAACATCTCAGCGGAATTTGTCTACGAGTGAAGAATTTCATATTCATGGGATATTTCAATAATTTCTAGCGCTGGAATAGCCATCAATTCGAAGCCGACTCTATTCAGATTCATCCTGCGTCTGGCACAGCCTTTGTCCTCGTCGATTGGTTTATTTTGTGTCTGTTGTAACGTTACAGGTAAGGCCCCTTACAAACAAGAACATGATTAATTTCTAATAATATTTACGCATGAAATATCATGCATTATACATTTCAGGCTTAAATGGCATGAAAATATATTCCTGCCCGGGGCCAGGATGATTCAATAAATGTCACCGAGGTTTTTTTAGCGAAAACAAAAGCTCACAACTATATGATAGTGACGTCAGCAGCCGTGTGGTTCAACGTGTTTAACCACATCCCTTGAACCACACGGCTTGTAATATTAAAGCATTGCATTAAACTTTGAAACGTGTGGTACAGGGCACGTGCCGTTTAACCCTATTAGTGGCAGGCTCCTGGTTACCCCTATTAGTGGCAGGGGGGGGGGCTGTTTACGACCCCCCCTTGATATCTCGAGATCTAGCGGGCCGATTTTCAAAATTCAAACGGCATTCGATTTCGCTCAACGTGATCTACATTTCTAAAAAAAATAAAAATTAAAAAATGTCAATAGGGGGGGGGGGGGTAGAGGGGGGCAAAAATGGGCAAATTGCAGATACATTTTAGACTGTTTATCACGGCCAGGTTTCTGAACCAATCTTAGCGCAACTTTTGCCGATCGATAGAGAATGAACCAGGAATTCACATGGATCCTAAAAATATGCATTTTCAAAAATCATAGGCGGATACAGATCATTGAGATTGGAGGTACACAAAAAGTATAGTAAATAAGGTTTTTGTTGGTACTGTTTCTAAAAAGGGTGGTAATGGTCTTGTTGTGTTACAATTTTCTTATGAGAGAACGACTACAATTGTATTGGTCATGCATAGGCGGTGTCAGGGCACCTATGTTGGGAGGTAAAACATAACCCCCCTTTTTGGACGCCTGGATCCGCCTATTATAGCAAAAACGTGTCAAAAGAGGATGCACAATAGCTTTGTATATGTTACCACATGATATCTTTCATTCGCTGTTCGTAAAACTGATACAGCATCGTGATCTTCGCCCAAATGACACGCTTCACGAATAGGACCCCCAATTCCAAGTGCTCTGGAGCCGCCCCTGGTAAAATTATGAACTTGAAATTTTTAGGGAATGTGCCCAATTTAGTTTTAGGAAAAGTCAGAAAATTTCAGCATCGTAGCTTCAGCGGTTTCGGAGATATTCCCGAAAAACCTGAGGGGTGGATAAAAACAACCCCCCCTGCCACCAATAGGGTTAAATGCCTGGATGTCTCGATTTAGTCATGCAATGTAGCAGGTATGGGAAATAAAGGGCACGCATGAAACATCATGCAGCATACATTTCAGGTTTAAATGGCAAAAAGTTGATTCGATCCGAATTCGAATGACATTGATAGTAGTTTCCTCTAGCAAATTTTTTTATTGTTTGGAACTTAAACAGTTTTTTATTCGTTTTCGCCAATATGATCCTGACCTTTGCTGTGTATATTGAACGAAAAACGTAATGACATATAACGAGACCCACCAGGGAGGCTCACACCGCATCACTCTGCAGTGTGCACCTCTATGAAAACAACGTGCACTGGCCGGGATTAGAATGACGTGCTGAGTCGACCCCGGATCGTTTGTCAGTGTCAAGTGAGGTGCGACCTGTGCGGTAGAGCCACTCCCTGTGGTGGCCGGCTGTCCTGAGAGCTGGACGGGTGTGGTTGGGTGTCGCTCAGCGTCGGGCTCCGACAGTTGGGCTGAGCTGTTCTGCGGACTGTGGTCGAGTCTCGGGGCTGGTGAGTGCAAATGGAAGCCGGATGCTGCGCGGCGGTGGGCAATAACGCTACTGTGGTTAACAGTGTCACTGCACACTGTTGCATCATAAAACTGCACACTGTCACTGCATAAAACCACGTGACCTGTGGCCAGGTGGTTTTATTTTGCACTTAATTTTCGTGTTAATATTTCCTTTTTTGTTGTGTTTATTTGTGTTTATGTTTTGTGGGAAAGGCGCTTTGATTTAAGCATTTTGCTTTTGCGCCGATCCGCGATTATTTTCTCCGATGTTTTTTTGTTCTTGGTTACCAAAATACACAACTGAACTGAACTGAACTGAACAGCGTTGAGCTGTGACACTGGAACGGGCAGTGACTTTGCTGCGTGTTCAGTGCTCAGCCGAGCCGTGCCGTGCCGTGCCACTGCCGTGCCGAGCCATGCCGTGCCGTGCCGTGCCCCATGGTGCCTCAGTGACAGTCGCGGTGCCGGTCGAGGCCGCGCTGCTCTAACCTCGCCCATCGGGGGGCCGTGCGGGGCGCCGGCCGGCTGCGCGCACTGTCCATGTGCGACGCGCCAGCGCCGGCCGCTGAGCCAGCTCCAGTGGGCAGCGGCGGCTCGGGACGGCAGCGGCGACGGCGGCGGCGAGCGACCCTGGACGTACAGATAACCAGCCTGAATTACTCGGTGAGATTTGGCCCGATTGGAGGGTGAGAGAAATGGGCTCGGACAGTAATGTGATGCGGTTGTTGTTTTGTCAAAATTTCTCAAATATTGCTGATCAAAAATACTATCTCGATACGGTGTAGAATATCTATTGCTGACATCAGAGCTGTTTACTATTATACCTACTCGTATTCATAAACATACAATAAAAGATATGCATCACAATGAATGTCCACGTTTCTTATGTTTGTGGCAGTATATAAAATGGTATGCGGCAGTTGAGTAAGCAGCTACGGAAACATTATCCAGATTGTAGTTCGTTTTACGACAATAAGTAAAACAACATTCCGAAATATTTGTTCCGCATACCTATCCATCGGCTAATTAGCTGGAAGAAAACGAGACAAATTTCATCATAAATCATTGAAATGTTTTAGCGCAACGAAAACTATTTTATTTGGGATAAAATATAAACTAAATACAACAATGAGCTTCTATGTAGATCCAGTTTAATTGTCATTTAAAGCCTTATTTATGCATCTTAATTCATGCAACCACAAGGCCAATGCCCAACATGCTCCTATTTATACCTGAACCGTCTCGGATTTTGGCATTCTTAACGCATCCGGGGGGTTTGATTATGACAGATTCAGGCTGTCAATTACCAGTACAAATTTGCGTTTGTATCCCAAAATACGCCAAAGTCGCGTCATGTGACCGTGAGGGACTGTCAGTGCCTGCGCAGGGAAGGACTAACGAGCCGCCCCCATCCAGAAGGCCTCAGATCGCTCCACTAATTAGGTTTCCGACAATATCCCAAAGGACGGTCGGCGCCGCTTCCCACGATTCGCAGCGGCTTTGAGCGTTGGCCACGCGCTCTTACAGAGTAACAAAGAGGGCAATTTGGTCGGTAAGTCAGAACTCGGCGCTCGGTTGTAGGAGGTAGCAGCGTAGCTGCACTTTGAGGACGTTGGAAAGCCGATGTTAGTTCTGTTTTCAAATCGTTACAGTTCATCCGGTACGTCTGCTGCTGGATAAGTAAACGTGCCACGTGGAGGAAACGACTCGGCTTCCCAATTTTTAAGTGATCGGATGTGTTGCTGACATGTAAACATGGCTGGCTTAGGTACACCGTCTGTAACACGTATCGCTGTTTTCACGATGGAGCTATTTACAGGAGTAGGAACTCAAGATTAAATACTGTAGGAACTCTACGGTCTACACTATGTACATTATACTATTAATGCACTCTGCTTATAGTCTCCAGAATGCTAAAGCGTTAAATCAGCGTGCCCAGCAAGTGAGTGTTCGGTTCTGTACTTTCTCTATTTGGTCATGCACCACATTCCTTTAAACTAGTTCACAACATTTTTGGTGTAGGTACTGCTTAGTTGGTCACAAATTGTTTTTGCCAGACGGTAGGGTATTGCGTGGCCTAAGCTAGGCATTTTAAGAAGATAAATACAAAATATACTTATTCACTTAGGGACAGAAAGTGACAAATCAGCAAATTAGCCAATGTCGAAATAATTTTCCATGAAATACAGTAGCTCAATTTAGCTCAATTCCATTACAGCTGAATTCCAAGTAGCTCACTTCAAGGAAAAACAAACTACCATTCTTAATCCAATTAACGGATGGCGCTTAAATTTCCATCATCACATACGCTTCAACTTCATCATTTACTTACGTTCACCACTTAGCCATTTCAGTGGCAGTAAGGCGGAGTAATTGCCCTTGAGCGAGGGAGGGCCAGTTCCGTTTGCAGGCACTTCCGAGCCCTGAACGGCCTTCCCTGGCTGCCTCCAATGTCACATCACTCATCAGGATTCGGCACCAATGTATGTGTTACAGGGAGTATGCGATTTCAGTTAGTTTGCAACGACCCTAGGGTGGTTGTAACCTCCCTGAACGATCAGTTTGTTTGCAACGACCCTAGGGACGTTACAAAATAACTGCTCGTTCCGGGACGTTGTAACGAAACTAGGGTCGTTGCAACCTCCCTAGTTAGTATGCAACGAACCTAGGGTTGTTACAAAATAACTAGGGAGTTAAGAATTCATCGAGTCTCGTTTCACAGGAGGGCCGTCAACAATCTTGTCCAATGAAAATATTGTTCAATCTAGTTGATTTAAAAAGAAAAGGAGAACAAAATTTGAACATTCAGCTCAGGAGTATTTCACGACGGCCATCAAGTATACATTTTGTGCAGATTTGTTCAAATTAGATGAAGCCCTTCGTAAAAACGGCTATTATCCGCTCGTTTCCAGTCTTTCTGTGATTGTAAACGTTCAAACATGTGAAATGATGGTGGTCCCATGCATTATGGTGGGTGTCAAGGTCACGTGAAGGTCAGGTCAGGGTCATTGACCTTTGATGACCTTACTTCACTTCTGGGTTCGATATTTTTAGGCTAGTTTTTGGAGCTGATTTCGAATTTAGCCCCCATTTGAACATTTACGAAGTAATCTTGGCGCCTTCGTGCCACGTCACGAGGCTGTCAGTGGTGGTTGACTTCTACTATGGACAGCTAGCAAGACGCCTTCTGGTTGACCTGACCTGACCCGACCTGGCCTAAAAACATCAAGACATCGTCGGTGGTCGAAGCTAACATGAAATTCGTGATCAGCGTGATCAACAACCTAACTCTCCATAGTTTTGACAGGTCCCGATTTTCCCGACTTTTAAGTCACTGACCTGACCTGGAAGGTCAACCAATAACTTAGCCCCGCCCTGTGCGTTTGCGGCTAGCAAAACACAAATAAGGGCGAGAGTTAACCCCGCAGGACCTGTTGGTTTTCTACATACGCGCCGGCCGGGAGGAGGGTTGGTACGACCCCCTCGTCGGTTTTCGCCCCTGATGGAGCTAGAGCGTCGCAGAAAAACAAGCGTGTGTGCCGTTAGGAGACACAGCAACTAGTACCCGATTTTAAGGTCTCAGGTCAACCGGTGACCTCTGAGGTCAGGTCAATTGTGACCCAAGACACGGATTCGGTTTTTATTAATAACTTCTTAAAAAACAGTCGCAGAGCGCGATTTTAGCATCAACGTGCTCGCCTTGCTCAAGCGCGTCGAATGGTATACTTTTTGTTCGGGTGAGGTCAACTTGAGGTGTTGACCTCGGGTCAAGGTCAAGTCAGAGACCCCTTGGTCGCGACATTGGTCAAAGGAGGTCATGTTGCATATTATTCGATTCGGCACGTCTTCCTCAGTCCATTGGTGGTGGCTTGACCGACTCGCTATCTCAGTTTGATCGGGAGTTTTTGACGAAAAGCTCGTATGACCCTAGTGACGTCATAAATGACGTCACGCAACGTCAACAATGCAAAATTGAAGCATCTAACCTTGCAAGGAGTGCATGAAATAACGATCCGTGTACTTTCGATAGTTTGAGATCGTTCCCGGCGCCAGAATAGCAGTTTTCATTTTTCTCAATAGACTTATAGTGGTGAGGTCACGTGACCGACCTGACCTCTCGTGATCTTTAGGAAAAATCCTAGAGGTACTTACAAGTTGTGAGACTTCTAGAAGATGCACGTACTGTAAGTTTCATCCCCCTGTAAAAGCTTCTCTGGGACTGAGGGCGTTGCGAAGTTGCGGTATCTGAGGATCGTCCACTTATGACGTCATAGGTCAGTATCCTGACCTGACCTGAAAATCTGGTTGGTGTCACAAGATCCGGCTTTAATCAAATGTCAGGTACCCTAGTTTCAGCTCTGTTGCTGGCGTGTTCGGAGCTATCGCGAAAAAAACGTGGGGGGGGGGGCGAGGATTAAGCTAGGCTGAGTAGGGTAAGTTTGGATCAAGTAGTAGGGGTCCCACCCGCACCACCTATTTATAGCAGGTGTACCTAAACCACCAGCGATATAATGCAGCCAAAATTATCACAGTTACGTGCTTTGTCCCGGGCACCACATATACTCCTGAGCTGAATGTTCAAATTTTGTTCTCCTTTTATTTTAAACTGAACTAGACTGTACAAGATTTTCATTGGACAAGATTGTTGACGGCCCTCCTGTGAAACAAGATTCGATGAATTCTTAAACTCCCTAGTTATTTTGTAACAACCCTAGGTTCGTTGCATACTAACTAGGGAGGTTGCAACGACCCTAGTTTCGTTACAACGTCCCGGAACGAGCAGTTATTTTGTAACGTCCCTAGGGTCATTGCAAACAAACTGATCGTTCAGGGAGGTTACAACCACCCTAGGGTCGTTGCAAACTAACTGAAATCGCATACTCCCTTTAACATATGCAAGGACACCGGCTCTATCAGTCAAGCTGCAGCAGCTGTCAGGGAGGAGCCCAAGATTAACCCGCGCCCTGCTGGGGGGGGGTGTTTGAACACCCCCCCTTGTGGTTTTTCGCGAATATCTCAAAAACGGCGGCGCGGAGCGCCGCCGTTTTTGGTACACCTTATCATACATCAATTCTACACATGTTGTGAAAATTTCAGACCAAGGTCATTCAAGGTCAGGTCACCAGGTCACTTGAAGTGACCTCACCTCATAAAAACTTTCAATGTCTGTCATAGCTACACCGAGTGACCGATCGCTTTGAAACTTTCAGCGATTGCTAAGAGCAATAGCATGTACAAAATGTATATCTCAGAATTTTGATATCGATGACCTAAGGTCAGGTCAATTTTGCGACCTCCCCATTATAAGTCAATGGGAGAAAATTGAAATGCGCCTCTTTTGGATGAAAGACATTATAAACACTCCCAAACACCGAATTACAAGTGGTTTAGACACACTGAACTTAAAAATGGTGTCCGTGACCCTTGTTTATGCCCTGAGGTCATCTTAGGTCACGAATGGTATCTAACAGTTTTTCGCAAATAACTTTTGATAGAGGCATGCTAGAGCGATGAAAACGCCTTAGATGTGTTCAGCTCGACGATACGGATCGACTGATATGCAACATGACCCTTTCCGGTCAGGTCATGACCTTGACCTGAGGTCAAATTTTCAAGTTGACCTTTCAAGGTCAAGTTATAGTTCATTCGATGCGTCTTGACGA